AATTTTGCATGTTCTTCACATGTACCCCCAAACCTAAAATACAATAAAATAAATAAATGGGGAAAAAAAAATAAAAATAAAAATAAATTGACGAGGGTACTAACAGGTCATGAGGATCAGGTAAATTAATAGATGGTAATTCACATTCGGTGCCTCGCTGAACCCTCCCAGACCCTCCAAGAGGTAGGTGCTATTACGAACCTCATTTTTCAGGAAGGAATTGGAATGCAGATTGTAGGTAACGGTTGGAAAAGTTGGATTCAGGATTTGAACCCAATGCATTAGACCCTAATATTTGTGTCTTTTCCCAGTAATAGGCCCTGCCCTGCCCCCATCCCAATAAATCACCCAAGTGGAGGCCACTGAAAATGATTTGAGGCTATGGAATTGCCTCTTTGCCTCTGGTCATCTTCTCCTACACAGCCTGAAATTCCACCATTAGAGGTGATCATTGGGGAGCAGGGGGTCGGGGTGGGGATGAGTAATTTCTTCTCTTCTCCAGGAGCCAGTTCTGAAATGAATGGATTTCTGGGAGAGATAGGACACTAATTGGCCACAGCAACAACAACAATAATACTTAATAATTATCGAGTACTTACTACGCAATAGGAACTGCTCTAAGCCCTTCACAGGTGATGTATTCTTTTATCTACCACACAAGAACTTACTATTGCTCCATTTTTCGGATGGCAATACTGAGATTTAGAGAGATAAAGTCAGTTGCTCCAAGCCACATATACCTAGCATTGGAACCAAGACAGTATGGGTGAGAGGTAGGTAAGGATAGATAAAGGTAGATAATGGCAGTTAAAGATAAGGGAGCCAGGCAGGACCTGCACCCTTATCTTTGCTGGGGATGAGAGGATCACATCATATAACCCTGCAGTTAGCACCAGGCTGTATTCATATTGTATTTGTGGAAACAAAGGAAACAAAACAGGCCCTGCCCTCCAGGGTGCCTCTCAGCTGGGAGAGACCGTCAGGTGCCCAGCAGTTAAGATGTGGTGCAGGAAGAGCTAACACTGAAATGAGCTATTGGAGCCAACAGGACAATGGCCGCATTACAACTTTCACGGGCCCTTGGGACCCTTGCTTTCGCAGGCTCCTTCCTCCATGAAAAATATTAAAAATTATATTTTACAGCTGCACTGGTATAAAGACATATTAAAATTATACATTCAAACATGTTCTTGGACTTGAAAGTTTGCTTTTTTCTTCTGATTTTAAAAGAAAGTAAAACATTTTTGTGGGACCCTGATACAGTTTGGATCTGTGTCCCCGCCCGAATCTCATATGAAATTGTAATCTCCACTGTTGGAGGAGGGGCCTGGTGGGAGGTGATTGGCATGGGGGTGGATTCCCCCTTGCTGTTCTCGTGTTAAGGAGTGAATTTTCATCCTTCCTCTTTGCCTTCTGCCATGATTGTAAGTTTCCTGAGGTCTCTCCAGCCATGCTTCCTGTACAGCCTGAAGAACTGTGAACCAATTAAACCTCTTTTCTTTATAAATTATCCAGTCCCAGGTAGTTTGTTTTTTTTTTTTTTTTGATACAGAGTTTCACTCTTGTTGCCCAGGCTGGAGTGTAATGGTGTGATCTCAGCTCACTGCAACCTCAAGCTTCCAGGTTCAAGCGTTTCTCTTGCCTCAGCCCCTCAAGTAGCTGGGATTACAGATATCCACCACCACACCCGGCTAACTTTGTATTGTTAGTAGAGACTGGGATTCACCATGTTGGCCAGGCTGGTTTTGAACTCCTGACCTCAGGTGAACCACCAGTCTTGGCCTCCCAAAGTGCTGGGATTACAGACGTGTACCATGGCGCCCAGTCTCAGGTAGTTCTTTGCAGCAGTGTGAGACTAGACAACACAGACCCTAAAAGACTTCTTGAAAGATGGTGAAGTCTAAGCTGAAGCCTTAACTTGCAAAGAGGGTAGAAGAGGGAACAGTACATGCAAACACCTTGAGAGGAGAGAGAATGTGCTAGAAACTACAGGTTGGTTAGGGCTTTTTGAAGCTACAGTATCACTAGTGAGAGTGAACAGAGAGGAATCTCAGAATGGAAGAAAGATGAAGTCATTTTAAGGAATTCTGATTTTATCTAGAAGGGATGGGGACCACTGAAGGCTTTAAGCAGATACACATTTTATGCTCAGCTATATGTTTTAGGAAAGTGATTCTGGGTTGTTACGTGGACAATAGATTCAGAGGAGTGTGGCCCAGATTGCAAGTCACTGGCCCCTACATTTTAGCTAGGCATATGGCTACCCCAAATAAAGATTTCATTCCTAGCTTCCTTTGCAGCTAGGGGTGACAACGTGACTAGGAACTAGTCAATGTGTTATAAGTAAAAATTTGCCACTCCTCCAATCAAGGGATAGAGTCTCATTTCCCTCCCCTGGAATATGGACTGGCTTTGGTGACTCACTTTTGGTGGATAGGATGGTGTAGGAGTGATGACGCAAAACTTTGAGCCTCGGTCTTAAAAGGTGATACAGCTTCTACTTGGTTCTCTCTTTGGATGCTTGCTTTTGTACGTAGCCATGCTGTAAGGAAGCCCAGGCCACATGGAGAGCCCTACGTGGAGAGAAAAACCAAGATCCCCACTTCACCCCAGCTGGGCTCCTGACTGACAGCCAGCCCCAGCTTGCCAGCCATGTGATTGAACATCTTGGAAGTGGAACCTCTATGCCCTATAGAACCACCCGAGCTGATGCCACGTGGAGCTTCGTGAGCCTTTCCCACCAAGCCCTGCTCAAGTTGCATACTCATGAGCAAAATAAATGATTATTGTTTTAAGCCACTATGTTTTGAAATACTTTAATACACAACAATAAATAACTGATATATTTGCTGAGAAGGTTCCGAGCCGCCTCTAGAACTATAGCAGGAACAGGCTTACGAGACCATCTGTACTACCCTCTCCCTTTCTGGTGGAGGCAGCTCCTACCCAAGCTCCCACTTAGAGTGAGAGCTTTGTCTACTTCTGTTTGGCATGTGCTGGCCGTGTGTAAACCCACAATTATATCGGCCAATGGCAAAACAGAATTGGGACACCAACCATTTCGAGTAAAATAATGATCCATTTCAAACCAGATACACCCTGTTCGGGGATCACCAATTGCTCTGAAGTTTCTAAATCACTTCTCCCATCTGCATACGTGGGCAACAGGGCTAACTTACCACCTCCCAGTGAAAGACAAAAAGAGAACCAAACCCTGGACCTCTGTTGCCCCTCTGCCTCCGATGCCTGCTTTCTTCATTTTTGCATTTTCTGTCTGATGCCATTCCTTGGGAAGACAGCCAACCGGTGAATGTTTCCATTGACTGGAATTTTGCTTGGCTATGTGGTTACTTGACAGGGGCCTTTGGTTCAGGGTGAAACTGAGAGTGGCTGTCCCAGTTCTCTACCACAGTCCCTAACAGTCTGTAAGACGGTCGATAAAATTTAGCAGGCATGTTGCTGTGATGGTTAATTTTATGTGTCAACTTGGCTAGGCTGTATTCCCCAGTTATTCAATCGAATGCTAATCTAG